ACTTCTGACTGTACCCAGTGCTTGTATAAATGAATAAATATTTTAAAAAATACTTAAAAAAAAAAAAGGAAAAGAAATATGAATTCTGGTACATAATAAAACAAATTTAATTTTTAAAAACATATACCTCCTGGATTCATACTCAAGGTTTTTACCTCAAAGAGAACATTCCCTCAATATATACATATTTATGAATTTTATGTATTTTTATATATAAATACATATATATATACACACACACACATACGTGCCTTACCGGAATATGAAATGTCTTTATATTTAATGAAAGTTAAAAGTTCTAAGAGACCACTGCCTTATTTCACAAACAAGGATTTTCATAACAGGTATACTCAATCTCATTTACCAAGGATTCCATTAACTCCAAAATGTGCTAACTAATATTCATATTAACATATTAACTAGCACCCCAAAATCTACTCTCCAGTTACTTTTTTTTTTAAAGAGGCATGTATTTTTTATTTATTTGTGTGTTTATTTGTTTGTTTGTTTGTTTATACATGCACTGGGTACAGTCAGAAGCGCAGGAGGGTGAGAGAATTCACCAGAGCCAGAGCGGGGAGCAGAGCAGGCAGAAGGACCTAAGTACACTGCTGAGGGGAGCAGCGGGCGGCAGGAGAGGTCCGCGCGCCATGTGGGACCCTCCTCCTGTGGCCGGGGAGCAGCTGGGGATTGAACCGGTGCCACAGAGGCCGCGGGGAGCTTCGCAACCCAGAGCTCAACCGCTGCGCCACCGGGGAGGCCCTCCAGTTACTTTTTGATATAAACCTAAGTGCCAAGAGATGGAAACTCACCTTATGGTAGAAGGTGGCCCAGGAATAGGCAATTGCTTTGTGTGATTTTTGTATTTCCTTAAAATACACACAAGACAATTCTTTTTCATAGTATAGCAACTGAGCAAAGCACTTTTCCCCTAGGAGGCCAATGCTTATATATGTACTGACACTACCCTACCTTTCCTTGCCTAGGAAAAGGCTGCATATGAACCAATATGACTTCTGCATTTTACCAATATTTCTCCCAAAAACTGATTTTTACCAATCACTTGTGTGCTAATAATGCATGTTACAAACACATACACTATAGTGCACCCTGTACACTTTCAACCACAGTGTTCTGTTCTTCCTAGAGTTGTTTTTCTAAAACACAAATCTATTCAAATTATCTCCCCCCAGTAAAAGCACTCAAAATGGCTCTCTCTATACATCTCAAGATAAATACTTAAAATGTCTCATATAAGAGTAGTTGCTTACCTCTCTGCCCTCTGTTCTTCATACTTCAAAATCTAGGCCTAAACTTTCCTCAAATATACATTCTCTCAAATATGCATCTCATTCTCACACATCACCTTCTCCTTCACATACTGTCCATCTAACTGCATCAATCCTTTACACACTCACTCCAACCATATTGCATTCCTCAACTACTCCTAAAATGTTCTTCCCTTCCTCTTAAGTCTCAAATACAACTTTTTCTTTAAGTATTAAATTTAACTAATTCAGTAAAGTTGCAGGATACAAAATGAATACACAAAAATCAACTGAATTTCATTACAATAACGTTTGGGAAGAGAAATTAAGAAGACAATCTTGTTTACAATTAAAAAAATAAAATGCTTAGGAGTAAATTTAACATAAAATATCCACATTGAAAACTGAAGAAGAAACAAATTTTAAGATAGTCCATGCTCGTGAATTGGAAGGATAAGTACCATTAAAATGTCCATACTACCCAACACAGTCTATGGATTAAAGGCAATTAATATCAAAATTCCAATGGCATTTTTTTTTACAGAAATAGAACACTCTAAAATAATGTGAAGCCACAAAAGACTGCAAATAGCCAAAGCAATCTTGAGAAAGAACAAAGCTATAGGCATTACATATCTTGGTTTCAAAGGATATTACAAAGTTATACTAATCAAAACAGACACATGTATCAATGAAACAGAGTCTGGAAATAAAGTCACATGTACATGGTCAATTTTTGACAAAGGAACTAAGAATAAACAATGGGGAAAGGATAGTCCCTTCAATGCATGATGCTGGGAAAACTGGATATCCATTTAAAAAACAAAACCAAATAAAAAAAATTGAACCTTTCTATCTTACACTTACACCAACACCAATATCAATTCAAAATAGATCAAAGACGAATATAAAAATTGAAATTGTAAAACGCCCACAAGAATATATAGGGGGATAAAATATAACCCTTTGGTAATGATTTTTTTGGGTGTGGCATCAAAAGCAAAAATAAACAAATGGATTACATCAAACTAAAAAACCTCTGCACAGCAAAGGAAACTATCAACAGAATGAAAAGGCAAACTGCAGAATGGGAGAAAATATTCCCAACCATACATCCAATAAGAGGTTAATATCCAAAATGTACAAGGAATTCATATAACTAAATGACCAAAAAAAAAACCCAGATTTTAAAATGGAAAAAAAAAAGGACCTGCAAAGATATTCTTCCAAAGAAACACACAAAATGACCGATAGGTATATATGAAAAGATATTCAACATCACGATCACAAAGGAATTGCAAAGCCTAAAACTTTTCAGGATGTCTATTATCAAAAAAGACAGAAGACAACAAAAGCTGGGAATGTAGAGAAAAGGAAAACCTTATATAGTGTTGGTGGGAATGCAAACTGGTATAGTTTTAAAACAGTATTTCTCAAGAATTAAAAAAAAAGAAGTGATGTGTGACTCATATATCATTATACTGAAAAGTTATCTGTACTCCTGTGTTCACTAGAGCATTATTTGCAAAAGTTAAGATATCAAAACAACCTAGTATCTATTAACAGATGACTGAAGAAAATGTGACCACACACACAGAGGTTTATTATTTGGCCTTAAAAGGAGGAAATTCTGTCCTCCGCAACAATATGGATAAACCTGAAGGGCATTATACTAATTGAAATAAGCCAGTCAGGGAAAGACAAATAGTGTATGGTACCACTTAATATATGGGAGCCAGAAAAAAAGTGTAATTCACAGAAACAGAACAAATAGTGGTTTCCAAGGGGCTGAAGGAAGCGATGAATAGGGGGAGGTTAGTAAAAGGGTACAACCTTTCAGTTATAAGATGAGTAAGATCTGAGAAGAGACTTCTTTCACAATGAATTCATATGTCAAATCATTAAGTTGTATACTTCAGATATTACAATTTTACTTGTAAATTATATTTCAAAAAAGTTGGAGAAAACAATGTAACATTAGACATTACATATAAACATGATTATAATTCTATCATAACAATGTTTCCATTCACTGTATAAAGGCTGGCAATTCTATAATCATTCACTTTTATATGTGTATATCTCTCTATATATATTTATATAGCTAAGCTACTCAATTAGTTCTTTTTGTTGAAAGAACATTACTGGGCCTCCCCGGTGGCGCAGCGGTTGAGCGCTGGGTTGCGAGGTTGCCCGCAGCCTCTGCGGCGCCGGTTCAATCCCCAGCTGCTCCCTGGCCACAGGAGGAGGGTCCCACATGGTGCGCAGACCTCTCCTGCCGCCCGCTGCTCCCCTCAGCAGTGTGCTTCGGTCCTTCTGCCTGCTCTGCTCCCCGCTCTGGCTCTGGTGAATTCTCTCACCCTCCCGCGCTTCTGACTGTACCCAGTGCTTGTATAAATAAATAAAATGAATTAAAAAAAAGAATGAATAAATAAATCTTTAAAAAAAAAAAAAAGAACATTACTGATGAATTATGTGCAAGAGTAAATAAATGATCAACACACCCTTCCTAGCTTTATTGCAAGAAAAAAACATTCTTTGGTGGACAGAGCATAGCCTTTACAATTGAAGTCTCAAGCACAGACAACTGAAATGGCAAAATGTAAATATAGCATTTGTTCCCAGGCTTGTTAATGACTGCGTATTTTATCTTTTGAAATCTTTTCAGTTGTTTTGTCATATAAAAATGGCATGGCCCATGAATGTGTCAGTGTTTCCATTTGTACAATGTAAACACATTAGAGTATCAGAATAATTACTTAAAAAATCAAGAAATATAAATAATGTGTATGGGGGGAGAGAAGCAGAGTACCAATGTAAACTGAACTCAAAAGTTTCTCTAAAAGTCTTATGTAACTTAATAATCTCATCCCCTTTTTCATAAGATTCTATAAGAAAAGATTCCATTCTTGGATTCTAATAACTAAATGCACTAAAGAAAAACCTAGCATTTTATTACAAAACGCTATCTTAAAAAGTCATCTATTCAACTGTCATTAATAGCAGCAAAACCAGGGAGGGTGAGAGAATTCACCAGAGCCAGAGCAGGGAACAGAACAGGCAGACTGATGAAATACACTGCTGAGGGGAGCAGCGGGCGGCAGGAGAGGTCTGCGTGCCATGTGGGACCCTCGCTGGCGGCCAGGGATCGAACCGGCGCTGCAGAGGCTACAGGCAGCTTCACAGCCCAGTGCTCAACCACTGCGCCGCCAGGGGAGACCCCAGAACAACTTTTAAAACTGAAAAAAGGAGTACCTGTTATGTCTTATAGACCTTTGCAACACATTAATATAATTCAATCTTTGAGAAATGTAAAGTTTTTTGTAAGGAAAAAAACCCAGTCTCAATAGCATTAATCAGTGATTGAAGCTAATATGATTCAGGGGCCACCCTGGTGGCACAAGGGGTTAAGATGCAACCTATGAAGTTATTCACAGCCATTGCAGCACAAGTTCGATCCCCGGCCAGGGAGATACTCACATGGCGCAGCAGACCTCTCTTGTCTCGCCCACTTCTCCCCTCAGCAGTGTGCTTCAGTCAGTCTGCCTATTCTGCTCTTCACTCTGTCTCTGGTGAATCCTCTCACCCCCCACACTTCTGGCCAGTACCCCAGTTCTCGTATGAATAAATAAAAAAATTTTTTAAAGGTTTAAAAAAAAGCTAATATGATTCAGTAGTTCCCATTTAATAGAGCACTAATCAACTTTCCATGTAAATGGAAAAGTCATTTGGACCGTGTGCTTCCCTTTCCCATTATATCTGAACATAGGTCCTGGTGGTCATAAAAGGAGAATAATAATACTTGAAGCTGGTCTCAAGGGCTTGTAATTACTCAAGAGAGTGCAGGCTAGTTTCAAAGAAGGCTGGGGGGAAAAAAGTCATTTGGATATTGTATATGCTCATTAAAAGTTCTATATTCGGGCCTCCCCGGTGGCGCAGTGGTTGAGCGCTGGGTTGCGAAGCTGCCCGCGGCCTCTGCGGCGCCGGTTCGATCCCCGGCTGCTCCCCGGTCACCGGAGGAGGGTCCCACATGGTGCGCAGAGCTCTCCTGCCGCCCACTGCTCCCCTCAGCAGTGTACTTCGGTCCTTCTGCCTGTTCTGCTCCCTGCTCTGGCTCTGGTGAATTCTCTCACCCTCCCGCGCTTCTGACTGTACCCAGTGCATGTATAAACAAACAAACTAAATAAATAAATAAATAAAGCATGCCTCTATTTAAAAAAAAAAAAAAAAAAGTTCTATATTCATTAGAACATATCTCTTTCATCAAGAAAAAGCCAAAACTAGCAAGCTGACTCTAGAACTGGGGCATATTAGCAAAGGAGGGGGGTAGGCAAAACAGTGATGGGATGAACACAAGGGAATATGGTGATGGTTCACAGGTGATATGGTGGCGGGAGAACTATGGGAACTACAATGATGTAAGAAAAATTTAGTAAGAAAAGAAACTATGGATGCTTTGGTGGTGGGTTTGGTGTGGCAACATGCATCTGATGAGGTGTGAGCCTATTCAGCTAGATCATACACTGTATTGTAAACCAATGTTATCTCAATAATTTTTAAAGAAAAAAGCATACCCCTTTCTAAGGTATGCCTTAAAACTTTTAATTTACCATTACAGACCACAAAACCCTTCTGCTATCAGCATCTTAAAAACAATTTGAGAAACACAAAAAGAGTCTCACAATACATTCATGTTTTGACTAGGTTTGGAGAAGCTAACTTTGTTTCTGTTGCAAAATGCATTGGAAAGAAACAAAAGGAAAAAGGGAGGGAGTTAACTAGAAAGGGTAGGAAAAAAGAAAATTAAAATTTCTTCAAATCCAATTCATTTGGGGAGAAAAAAGTGAATGGTGTTATAGGTAGAATAAAACTTCTAAGACTTTTCTGTTCTATATCAACTAAAAATTATAACTTTAAAAACAAATTTCCCTTCTTGAGAAAATTACTTCAGATGGCTTAAATGAAGGTAAAAGATCAAAATCTTTGCTTCTTAGGAAACATAATAAACTATTCCTTCAAATCACTATTCATAAAAAATTGTCTCTTCACAACCTTACATAATTTTGATCAGCAAAGTGGAAAGTCACTTAAATATTATTTTAGTCTATTCAAAATTATTGAGCAAATGTTTGATATTCTGAAATCTGAAACACAGAACTTAACCATCCCCTCTACGAAATGCTGTGCTACTCTAAGGTGGATAATGAGCTGCAAAACTCCCATTTTCCTTGCTGGAAAATAACAGGAAAAGATCTTTAACGAAGGGGGGAGAGGAGGGAAATCAAGCTCCGTGGCGCCATCTTTTGGATTATTCTGGTTTTCTTATAATTCTTCTACTATCTTTACAAGAAACTATTGATCAGAATCAAAATACGGGTACAATTACTAATTATACATATTTTCTAAAGCCATAAATGCCTTACCTAACTTTCAGAGTTCGATAGTAAGATTTTAAATGATTAAACATTTTTGTACAATATTGAAATTCTACTGAAAAATACAGGTCTTTTGAATAACCAACTGTGTCCTCAACACCTACTGTAGTGGTTCCAAAATGAGATGTCCCACCATTACCAGCATCATCGATATCACTTGGGAACTTATAAGAATTGCAACTTGGAGGCCACCAGCCAGACTGACAAAACAGGAATTGGGGGAGGGAGGAAGAATCTACATTTTTACAAGCCCTTTACAGGCCCAAGTGATTGTGATACAAGGTAATGTGGAAAAACCTTTGTCTTAGGAGAATTCTAAAAGGTAACACTGAGCCACATACTATTTAGAAATCTCTAGTACATTAGCAGTTTCAAACAGCTTCAGATTGGTATTGTAACAGGGTGGTCCCCAGGAAAGGGGGAAGTTCCAGGTTCCCTGCCCCACCCAAGGGAGGGTGGAGCTGAGCAGGAAGAGAAGAAGCTGCAGAAGAGACTGAGGAAGGAAGCAGGATGGAGCCAGGAGACCTGGAGGAGGCGCATGGAGCCTAGAGACACGTGAAGAAACTGCGCTTGTCTTTTGGTCGTAGACTGGGTGACACAGATGTGGGTGAGACCCGTGGGGAGGTGACAATGGCAGTTTTTATCTTGATGTTAATTTTGCTCTTTTCCTTCCGGGCTTATCTGGTTGTTTGTGACCCTTTGCTGTGGGTCCCCACTGGAAGATGCTTTAGACTTGTTACAGGCTTTGGGACCTTGTTCTGGGCCGATCCCATATGGATGAACTTTTACCCACGAGGGGATGGGTAACTTTGGGTGCTTCATTTAGAAACTAGACTCTTTGCCTTACCTGTGTTGTTTCCTAGTTTAATTAAAGTTCCTTCCCATTAAAGTCTCCTATGTTTTGTGTTGATGCGGCGGATGGCAGAACCCATTTAGAATAGGCAGGTTTGCGGGGTTTGGGCTGCCCCTCTCCCTGTCCTATAACAGTATCACCAGGGAGTTTTAAAAATGTAGGGGTTCCACTCTAATGATCTGACTTAATGGTTTTCTGGGAGGTGAGTAAAGCCTGGACACCAGAATTTTTAAAAAGACTCCCAAGTAATTCTAAAATGCAGTCAAGATTGAGAGTCATTGATCTAGAGGATTATTTATTATTATATTATTATTATTATTATAAAAGCTAGAGTCCACTAAGAGTTTTAGATTTAACAAAATTTGTTAATGAGATATGAAAAAAGTTCTCAAAACCAAGATACATACAAAGCTCTCATTACAAATAAAAGAGCCTGTTCACTTCCAGTCTGTACATTTTATTATTTCAAGGGTTATACGTTTCTTTAAAGCAGAATTGTTTCAATACATAATTTATTAAATGTACTATGTGTTCCTAGTTTTTATGGTAAGGTTCTTTTTAAAAAGACATGATAGTCCTTGCTCTTACAGACCATCAATATTGCTTGAGGAGATAAGGCCTATTTCATAATAAATATGAAGTATAAACCCCAAATTTGGAGTACAAGTTCAATGTGCTGAGTCAACGGAAGAGGGAGTCTCATCTAACCACAGTAGTATTTAAGATTGCCAAATAATAGGGTAGAATTTCAGTCTTTATGGATATGGGTACATTAGTGGATATAGGGATGTAGGCAAGCTGATGGGAGAAAAAACAGGGGTTTTTTTAGAGGAACCACAAATCACAAAAATAGACAACTATTTTCTCAATTCCCTCAAAGATGGTATATAACTGGTTCCACTCTAAAAAACGCAGGATAGAAACAGGACAGAAGTTTATTCAATACATACAATGGATGCCCTGGGGCAATGGTGCTCACAATTAACATGACTTAGATTCACAGGGAGATTTGTTATAAAACAGACTGCTGGGTCCACCTCTAGAGTCTGGTTCTGCAGTAGGGCCCAAGAATACTATTTCTAAAAATTTCCCAACTGCTCCTGATACTACTGGTGCAGGGATAACATCTTGCAAAACATTGCCTTAGGGCACTAAAACTTAACTATCTGGTGATTTTCTGGTTAAGAAAGGGTAGTGATATAAAATATATTTTCTTTTCATTTTGAAAGTCATTCTACTCTAAAAGTCATTCTACTCTAAAAGTCATTCTACAAGAATAGAAAATACAGAAACCAGAAATAAATAGCATTACCCTTACCCCCTCTATTCAATACAACATTATCTTGGTCTATTTTTCTTCTCCTTAGGGTATTGTTGGCTGTAACGTACTTAGGAAGGCACATATGTAAACACTGTACCAACTTAAACATGTCAAAGGGGCCAAAAGACATGACCAATTCCTTCAGATGTGATATGGTGGGTGAAAGTTGTTCCTTCAGACTCCTATGAAAAGGTGGAAGTTTTGCCCAATGACTGTACCAAAGAGTAGTTCATCAATTCTTTCATATCGAAAACAGTCTTGTGTTATTTGAGTGATCTTTTGGGCAACCAGATTAAATGTTTATTGAAATATTTTCAACAATAGTAAGTCAGCAACCTATTTTCCAAGCCCTTTTATTTCTAAGAATATTTGTCTTTTACATGTACTAAATGGCAACTTGGTTAGTCAGAAAACTCCCGGTTTAGAACTTCATTTCACAACTTCCTCAATTCACTGACTTCTGGTACTTAGTATAACAAAGTCTGAAGATAGAATCATTTGTTTTCCTTTGTATATGACCTATTTTCACCAATTGTCCCTTCACCCCTCACTTCTTGGCTTGAATATTTGCAGTATTTTTTTTTCTAAAAGCTTCTAGTTAAAGAAAAAACTTATGTGAGCTTTAGCTAGGTGTGGGTATCTTTTCACTGACTGTATATAGAATGCTGTTTCTATTAAGTATATACACCTCAGCTTTGAGAGTTTTTTGTTTTTAATAAAAGAAACTCATCACTTCTATTCCAGTTGATTGATTTACTTTGAATGGAATATTTATTATTCCTTTGTAGGGTTCCTAGTATCAATCTTTCACATTCATTACACCTCAATAAGTTTATTTTTATCCTTCAACTCCTAATCTATTGCCTTCTAAGTAGAAAAATCAACCCTGCTATTATATTTTAGTCTCCAATCACCCTTCATTATGTTTCCAGTTCCTCTTTTTATCTGATGACCCTTTATCTGAACTTGTCATCTACTTAGGAGTGTTTTCATATTTTAATGGGGCCATCCACATCTTTTTATATACTATTAAATATACCTGGTGTTCTGTTTTCATTTTGTCTTGATGCTTTTCATATTCATATGGCAATTCTTTCAAAGCTTCAGATTCTTAGCCTTCCTCTTTTTTCTACATTGTTTTCTCAGAAATTTCCTGCCATGTTAACAATTCCTTGACAAAAAGCACAATAAACTTGTGTTTAGTGCCTGACAACCAGCAGAAAGTATTAAACTGCCCTTCACATAACTTTTTAACCACATTGCTACCAGTAGAATACTTTCCAACAAATGATGTGTCATATTTAAACATTTCCTGGGGCCCAAGATGCTTCATCTAGTGTGGTTCTACTAGAAAAAGAGGAGGACTTCTCATATTCCCAGTGACAAATCCTTAAACCAACTGAATATGAAAAACTTTTGGAATTCCACTTTTTGGCCTCCTACTAGCTACCTAAATCCTTTTGAGACACAGGGCAAGCTAGAAATTAGGCAGTTTTAGGGACAGTGCAGGAGGGGACCTCTGAAGAATTTAGGAAGGCTTCAGAGATAAGGACAACCAAAGGAATGTAACCCATTCCACTGGGAAAAACAAACATCCCAGGACCACGGACAATGTTAACAATGGTCCTGGTTTTCTTCAGGTGATAAAGATAAAGTGTAGAGATGCTCACCCAGAGGACTGGGCCATAAAGATAAAGCAATAAGCATAACAAATGGGGAAAGACAGACTTGTTAGATAAGGAATGTGAAGATCCCCCAATCAGTAGCAAATTAAGTGAGACAGCCGAAAACTGACCAATCACAAAGAGACTGGTGGAGCTTTAGAATAATCATGGAAAGAAGGTATATATTCCCTGAGACACGACTCCACTTTGGCTTCCTTGCCCCTCCCAGGCCTGGTTCCCTGGCCTGGGAGTCCCACTTTATTTCTGTTCTTTTTCTCCTCAATAAACTTTTTCTTTCTATAAACAAACCTGCCTCTTCTCACTTGCTTACCTGAGCGTCTGCGAAGTTCCTGCTGCGGCTTCGTGAGACACCAACCCGTGGGGGTCTAGCAGCTGGGGCTCAGCATTGCCCCTGCAACCTGGGATCTGTTCCTGGCTGGGAGACTAGGCCTGACAATTCCGGTATCACTTTTACTGCCATGAAGACCCATTCTGATTTCACTTTTTCCGCCCCCTCACATAGGTATGGAGATGGTTTATTGTTGTTATTTGATTTCACTTTTTAAAGGCTTGTCTTTGTTATAATCAGTGACATAATTGCACTTTTTTTGCAATTATTTCAAAATTTTCTCCAATTCCAGATCAAGTTATTTAAGGCAAGTGATATTTTAGACTTCTTTGTAATAGCAAAGATTTAAAAATATTTGTCTACTGACAGAAATGCAGTGTCAGAATGACATGAAGAATTACTTTTATTAATGAGACATTTAGTGCAATAGGTGTAATTTAGGCAACCACGTCCACACTAACCATGGTCTAAAACTAAACATACCACTTTCTTTTCTGAGATTGTTGGAAGCAATCACTTTAATTATATGCAGAAAAGGAGCCATACGTTTTAAAAACAGAAGTTCAGTTGGTTAACTAAAGTTAAAATATGGGCCTCCCTGGTGGTGCAGCGGTTGAGCGCTGGGTTGCGAAGCTGCCCGCGGCCTCTGTGGCGCCGGTTTAATCCCCGGCTGCTCCCTGCCACCGGAGGAGGGTCCCACATGGCGCGCAGACCTCTCCTGCCGCCGGCTGCTCCCCTCAGCAGTGTACTTCGGTCCTTCTGCCTGCTCTGCTCCCCGCTCTGGTGAATTCTCTCACCCTCCCACGCTTCTGACTGTACCCAGTGCATGTATAATCAAACAAACAAATAAATAATAAATAAATAATACATGCCTCTTTTAAAAAAAAAATAACATATAATATTAAGAACATAGTCTCTCAATAACAAAGAGAAACCCCACCAACTGTGAGAACATTTTTGCACACAACACTAATGATAAAGGACTGATCACAAAAATCTGCAAGAGCTGATGAGACTCAACAACAACAAAGAAAATAATCCCATCAAAAAATGGGCAGAAGAGCTAAAAAGAAACTTCTCTGAAGAGGAAATGCAAATGGCCAACAGGCATATGAAAAAATGTTCAACATCACTTGTCATCAGGGAAATGCAAATCAAAACTACCATGAGATACCATCTTACACCAGTGAGAATGGCACATATTAAAAAAACTAGCAACAACAAGTGTTGGCGAGGGTGTGGAGAAAAAGGAACTCTTCTGCACTGTTGGTGGGAGTGCAAACTGGTCCAACCACTATGGAGAGCTGTGTGGAGATTTCTGGACCTACTAAACATAGAGCTTCCATATGATCCAGCAATTCCACTCCTAGGTATTTACCCAAAGGACACAGAAACATCAATTCCAAAGAACAACTGCACCCCTATGTTTATAGCAGCACTGTTTACAATAGCTAACCTTTGGAAACAGCCCAAATGCCCAAAAATAGATGACTGGATTAAGAAGATGTGGTACATATATACCATGGAATATTACTCAGCATTCACAAAAGATAAACACATGCAATTTGCAGCAACATGGATGGCGCTGGAAGGGATCATGCTCAGTGAAATAAGCCAAAAAGAAAAAGAAAAATACCGGATGGTCTCACTCATAACAGGAATCTAGAAAACTTAAATAAGGGACCAGAAAAATGAATAACTATAAGAAAGCGAAAATCAAAATCAACAAAAAAACTATGAACCAGAGACACTTTTTGGGGGGTGAGGGGCGGGAGGGGAAGGATTGGGGTCAGAATGGGGGGGTTGCAATTGTATGGGGAATATAAAAATAAAATTATTAAAAAAAAAAAAAAAGAAGCTCTTAAAAAAAAATAAAATCAAATCAAAACTGTACAATGTAAAAAAAAAAAATAAAGTTTGAAAGAACATAAAAAAAAAAAAGAACATAGTCTCTTAGGCTGAAATAGTCTAAATGTGCTATGAACAAAAATTATACACCAAATCTGCAAGGATCCAAAACCCAGACATGACTTTGTTTCAATGACTTCTATTATAGTACATTAATCATCTCACTTCCATTTAATAGTTATTATTTTTAATAAAAATTACATGTTGATGAGAGCCAAACAGGCTACTTACCCCACCCATTGTAATTCCATGAATAAGTGCAACATATGGTTTCTGGCAAGATTCTAAAAGAAATAAAGGCGTAATTAGTTAACAATATTCAAAATACAGTATATTCAAAGTACAGGGTGACAGCTTGGAGAAAACACTGAAGACAAGGATTAATGAGGATTGATGCTATTAATTAATAGTATCAAGAGACTCCTGTGATTCTATGGGAGAGAGTACCAGAAGTGTTACATTAAGATAGACTTTTCAAAGGATCTATAGAATTTGCTTTTTCCAAAGATCAATTTTTTCTAGGAAAAATTAATAAGAAATCTCAAAATAAATTAAATGCATGGTTTGTAAAATACGATACTTTTAATCACTCAATACATATTATCTGATTAACTGCTACCACCTAATACACACCTTTTCAACTATAGATACATATATTTCAGATATAAAACATCAGAAGCTAATTTGACTCTGTCAAATTCCTTACTGACTAAAATGTCATTACAATGTATAGAAATTTTACAATGTATAGAAATATGAAGGTTTTTTCTTTGTATATTAGCATATTATCAAATTCTTTTCAAACTGCTTAGAGGTTTTCTCCCACTCCTTTTATGAAAATATTCTGTCTTCACTAGCCAAAGGTAGCTGTTTCAATTAAACTAATTACTATAACATTAAATTTTAAATTCAGTTTCTTGGCCATAATTGTCACATTTCAGCCTTCGAGAGCCACATATGGCTAGTGGCTCTCATATCAGACAGCACGGATACAAAATACTTTCATCATCACAGAAAGTCTATTAGATAATGCTGGCATAAATATTAGAATAATAAAACATTCTCTAATAAATTTGACCCATGAAAAGCTAAAAGAACTGAGAGATGTTCATTCATTTTGCTTCAATGAGCTAAAGTGAGAAACATCCTCTAGGGGGAAAAAAGTAAACTTTCTTGTATATCTACATTCAAAACCAATCAGAAGAAATCTACACCTGCTGGAAACAAACTCAAATTTGAGTTATGACAAAAGAATCATTAACATCAGTGAGGAGGGGCCTCCCCGGTGGCACAGTGGTTAAGCGCTGGGTTGCGAAGCTGCCCACAGCCTCTGCAGCGCCGGTTTGATCCCTGGCTGCTCCCCGGCCACCAGAAGAGGGTCCCGCATGGCGCGCAGACCTCTCCTGCCGCCCGCTGCTCCCCTCAGCAGTGTACTTCGGTCCTTCTGCCTGCTCTACTCCCCGCTCTGGCTCTGGTGAATTCTCTCACCCTCCCCCGCTTCTGACTGTACCTAGTGCTTGTATAAATAAATAAATAAATAAATAAATAAATAAATAAATCTTTAAAAATAAAAAATTGTTTTCTAAAAAAAAAAAAAAAAACATCAGTGAAGAAGGCACAAACCTGTTGATAACAGGTAATATCTGTTTCCTAGCCGGAAAATAGATGTCACAAGGAAAAAAATTTAAGTAACATTAAAGAGTTTCTGAAATTTACATTTAACTGTCTGATTTATGTACCATTCTGTAAGTTTTTAACAATAGGGAATATATGTTCTATAGTATTCAATTTTATGAATATGCCTTACCTTACTTTTCATTTCTACATTAATGGATAGAAAGAAATGTAAAGGAAGAAAATATTCAAAACATTACAAGAAAATACAAGAGACTGTCTTAAGAGCAGAAATCAAAAAGGAAAATGAACATATTTCACCTCAAATTAAAAATTTGCATATAATAGGGCCTCCCCGGTGGCGCAGCAGTTGAGCGCTGGGTTGCGAAGCTGCCCGCAGCCTCCGCAGCGCTGGTTCGATCCCCGGCTGCAGTGCGAGGGTCCCACATGGCGCGCAGACCTCTCCTGCCGCCCGCTGCTCCCCTCAGCAGTGTACTTCGGTCTTTCTGCCTATTCTGCTCCCTGCTCCGGCTCTGGTGAATTCTCTCACCCTCCTGCACTTCTGACTGTACCCAGTGCTTGTATAAATAAATAAATAAATAAATCTTTTTTAAAAAAAAAAAAAAAATTTGCATATAATAAAAGATAACAAAGTCGCAAACTGAGAGAAGTGTTACCTGTAACAAGTATAATCTATAAAAGCTAAGGGTTCAGAACTCATAAAAATTACAAATTAAGAAAAAAGACATGATTCAGTAGAAAGGCAGACAAGGATGAAAGCGGAAAAGAAAATCTAAGTGATTAACATAAAAACATCTTCCACAATGCCATTCCAGGATATACAAATTAAAGCCACCTTAGGATATTATTACATGCAAAGTTTAACAAAAAATGATGGAAAGTATAGAAAAGAAAATCTGACTCTTTAGGAAAAAATCTGGAAACAAAATGAACATGGATAAACTCTACTACCCATAGTCTTCTACTATTATTTATAGAGAAATGTTTCCACTCGGGCACTCAGGGGCACATATAAGGCCAATCTGTATTAATAAAAATTTGAAATAATCTAAAATATCCATTAATGTAAAATAGATAAGTAATGTATAGCATATTCCTAATATTGAATACTACAGAACATACATTCCCTGTTGTTAAAAAACCTTATAGAATGGTATATACAGTTACATAAATTTCAGAAACACAAAGTAATACTGTTTTTGTTCTTAAATATATAATAAAAATTAAAAATATGGCCTAAGAGAATAACTATTCAGAGAATAATTTTCTACAGAAAAAGGAAACGCAATGAGGAAGCAAAAATGAACTGAATTGTAACTTAAAAAAACAGAATACTTAGAATACTTGTAGTATTCTATTTCTTTTAAATATTTCCAGTTTTACTGAGACACAATTGACATAAACACTGCATTAGTCCAAAGTACACATGACTTATGTATACACTGTGAAATAATTACTACATCTACCACCTCACACAGTGAAATTTTTCCCTTTGTAATGAGAACTTCTAAAATCTACTCTTAGTAACTTTCAAATATACAGTATTGTTACTTATTATAACCATGTGGTATATTACAGTCCCAAAACTTATTTGTCTTGTAACTGGAAGTGTTTACCTTTTGACCATCATCACCCATTTCCATTTAAGTAAATTTTAAAACAAGCAAAAACAAAATATTGATGGGCTAGTGGCAGCACAGTTATTTATTGTATTATTCTCCATAATTCTGAAACACATACTTCAATTAATAAAAGTCCTGTTTCACTTCCAGTGAAACCTGGAATGTTGATTATAAGAAAATTTTCATTCCAGAGTTCTCTAGAATTAAGTAATGTTTCATTTTATATAGAAAACTGGGACCTTACTTGTTCAAGTAAGTGTCATATGATCAGAATTTCATGCTAATATATTAATTTTATGACAAAAAGTAGTTAGGTATAGCCTACTAAAATAATAGTGTGAATTGTTCTGGAATAAGCAGTCAGAATAGTTTAATCAACCTTATGCCTGGTATGTAATATATGAAAGATTAGAATACCTATATATTACATTTTTAACAATTCATATTGTGTAGCTTATTTCTTGATTCCATTTTCAAAGCTCTCAACAGAGCACACATACCAATGGCATTGTTCAGCTGATACTCTTCTCTGAAGAAATCTTGAGCTAACTTCTGTTTTGCCTTCCCAGCTTCTGAGACAGCTAAAAAGATAAAAGAAAGAAAATTAAAGACCAGAGGGAAACTGGTATTTATTAAAGTTTGGAAGTTGCCATGTTTCACACACAGCCCAGTATCTGCAGTCCAATTCAAAAGTTTAAGGCAACAATCCCTACTAAGTACTTCTTACAAAGTGTCATATTTAAATCAGAAATTTATATTGCCACAAAATCCATTTTCTTTTGACAAACTTCCAATCAAATAAGTAAACATCTATTGGATATACGTTGCCTGTGGTAATATATCTTAACACAAAGCACATCACTCACATACACACACACACACAATGTGTATACACACAGTGTTACAGAGTATACCATCTAGTTAAATACTTCTGCCACATTCATTTCACAGGAAAACATTTCTTTAATATCTACTAGATACCACACACTGTTGTAGGTGTTGCAATAACAAGACACCAAGATGACTGGCGTGGAGTTCAGGTAAATAAGAAAGACTACTAAAACACACTCTTGTGCTATGCCCACTGTAAGGATGGAGCCCTGTGAGGCTGAGAGGGGTAGTTAAAAGAGGATTTTCCTGAGTCAAGTTCGACTAAGAGGTAGGGAAAAGGTCCAGTTAGAGGAAGGAAACAAAGGCACAAAAGCAGGAAACAAAAGCAGAAACAAGAAATAAGTACCCTTAAAAGACTAAAAGAGAACAGCAAAGGTGAAACCAGAAGTAAATAGGGTAGAAATATCTTTACTAATATCAACAGAAATGTAACTTCTCAAAGACAGTGCTGCAACACTCATGCCTTTCCTGTCTTTAAGTCTTATGAGAATAATCTACTAAAATACAAATCATAAGTATTACAAATACACATTGCTTCTTTTATGATTACTAACTACATAAAAATTCTTTTTTTCTTCATAAAATTTATTGACTGCTTCATAATTTTTACATTAACTCTACAACTGTGATTTATTTTCTCTCAAACTGTTTGAAATGTTGACTTTTCCTGGTTTTGAAAAAAAAAAAAAAAGACCTACTGCCTAGTTTGTCATTCTGAAGCTTTCATTGATATGTGTCCCCCCCAATCCCTCTTCACTTGCCTTTTACTCAGATCATTACTTAACAATTCTAAAAGGAAAGGAGAGCAAGTTGTGTTGCCCATGAAATGAAGTTCTTTTACCTTAAAATTCTTACATTTTCTTTTAATCTTATTCTCAGCTAATTCTTACTCTAAGCAATTACTTTCATATAAGTTAAAATTCAAAAATGTTCATAATATTTAAAAAATTTGAGTGCTCACTTACTACCTTAGGCTATGACCTTTAAACTACGAATTTCCTGGTATTGCCCCATTGCATTATACATGTACACTAGAATTCTATAAATTATGACTGTATTTCCAAACATCAATATACAGATAGGCCTGTGTGCAGAATATAATTCACAGTCAGAAGAAGCTAAAACCAATACATAAAGTTCCATCCATATGTCAACTGACAAGATCATATGCCCAACTCCAGAGGAAAGTTAAATTACAGGCTGAAAAACACTTTAAATATATTCATATTGTGGGCAAAAGAATAAATCAGACTACTCAGTCAAAAAATTAACTTCACCTTTGAAACTCAGTTTTACCAAGTTTACTTTAAATTTAATAGGTATTTGAAATGATGGGTTGAATCAAATTTCTTCCTATTTCATGTAAAGGTTTTCCATAAACATAAATTTAAATTGATCCACCAAAATATTACGGTGTTAACACAATACACAAAAAAATGAATACACAAAATAAGAACACTAGGAAAAAATCATGCCTGGATTCTACCAATTCCATGAGATATACAAAATACAAGCATAGTTTTTAGTAGGTATAATATACTGACAACTAGTGGTAACAATGAATATATTACTGGTCGTCAGAACAAACATTTCTTCTCCCTTTTATCTTTAATACTTAAATAACTATGGGTTCACCTACACAAGAAAGGTAAGGGTAATTAGTTTTTATTATCTTAGCATATTTATTTAAATGCAATAGGGTAAATGCCATAATTAAGAACATGGTTATTTTGGGATTATAATCAGTGGGAAAGCATAAGAAAAATCATGGACATGTGAGCATATGCCATATTTAGAGAATGATGTCATCCAACAAGGCCAGATGGTCAGGTTATGTGACAAAGTACTCAGTACCAGCTATTTTAAATAAAAAGTAGATTCTAGTAGTCTAACTGGACATTCTGTTTATGAAGAGTCATGGAAAGAGACAAAATGTCTGAGTTTCAGGAGGGCATACATGTAGCTAATAAAAAAAAAAAAAGGAAAGAAACTTTAATTTTTCCCAATTTTTTTCTTAATATAACTATAAAAAGTCAATTTAACTCCATAACTAAAACCTAAAACAATAAAGCAAATTACAATGCAATACAAACATTTGTTAATATTTTACCATTCTGTTAGGAAATAAAACCTTTAGGTGAAGGGCAAAAGAATGTTTTTACCTTTGATATCACCACCAGCACAGAAAGCCTTTCCTCCAGTTCCCTTTATAATGATCAGGAAAGTTCCAGGATCTTGTTCCCATTTCTAGCCAAATATAAAAAAAGGTGGTATAAGCACATGATGAATACAAACTCATTACAGATATATCCATATGGAAAGATACATATATATGTGTATGTGTGTATGTGTATACAGTTTACTATGGGTATATATAAAGTATAAGCTTTATAAAGCATACCTAGAAGAATGGATCCCAACTTCATTTTCTTTTCTGACATAAATTAAACGCTATTCCAAAGTTGTGAGATAAGTATCTTTTTTTAAAAAAAAAAGATTTATTTATTTATTTATACAAGCACTGGGTACAGTCAGAAGCGCGGGAGGGTGAGAGAATTCACCAGAGCCAGAGCGGGGAGCAGAGCAGGCAGAAGGACCGAGGTACACTGCTGAGGGGAGCAGTGGGCGGCAGGAGAGGTCTGCGCGCCATGTGGGACCCTCCTCCGGTGGCCGGGGAGCAGCCGGGGATAGAATTGGCGCTGCAGAAGCTGCGGGTCGCAGCCCAGCGCTCAACCGCTGCGCCACCGGAGAGGTCCAAGATAAGTATCTTTTGCAATCCAAATTTTATGATGGCATATGAAATCCTTCCCAAGATAACTTTGAGACCAAGGGGGTAAAATACAGACTAAGTAATGTCATGTTACATATATTTATAAATCTGGGGAACACATCAGCCCAAAGCCCATTAGTAAAGCAATCATCTTTCTAGTAGGGTGATGCAGGGTTCTGTCCTCCTGACAAATCTGTAATTAACAGAGTGAAGCTGCTCACACTAATCAAAGCTGCAAGTGATCTGGGGTTGGTAATGACATCCGATAAATAGGATGAACTAATCAAGAGCTGACAGAAATTCAGAAAACTAGAATGACAAATTAAAAATCAGTTAACCAGAGATTAAAAAAAAAATTAATAGGCGTGCTATAAATTCTGTACAAAATGAAGCTATACTGATGTGGTTGCCCAAAAGGCTGATGGGATACAGGGCTTCATTAACAGTGTTCCAACAAAGACATTTTTTTTTTCACCTACTGTAATCTGGAATGCTTTCCTTATTTTCTATCAAACAGACATATTACAAGGTATCTCCAACAGATAAAACAAAGTGGAAAAGGCTCATAAAATGAAGTATTAAGAAGTGGTGACCAAGGGGAGAATTTTTTTTTCTTTTTAATTAATTTATTTATTTATACAAGCACTGGGTACAGTAAGAAGTGCGGGAGGGTGAGAGAATTCACCAGAGCCAGAGCAGGGAGCAGAACAGGCAGACGGATGAAGTACACTGCTGAGGGGAGCAGCGGGCGGCAGGAGAGGTCTGCGTGCCATGTGGGACCCTCCTCCAGTGGCCGGGGAGCAGCCAGGGATCGAACCGGCACTGCAGAGGCTGCGGGCAGCTTCGCAACCCAGCGCTCAACCGCTGCGCCACCGGGGAGGCCCCAAGGGGAGAATTATTAATTGCTCAATAACTATGTCACCAACCATATTAGGTACAATGACTCATTTATTTTTCATAACAATCCAATGAAATACTAGCATTTCAAAGTGAGGCACAGAGAGACTAACTTCCCTCTCAGCACAGTTTAATAAATAGAAATCCCAAACACAGTCTGACTTTTAAATCATGCTTTTCCACTATACCATGCAGTTCACTCATAAATGTGAACTTCTCTGAAAGCTGGCCAAGCAATTCAACCTCAATTATCTTCAAATCAAAAAGGTATCATGAAAAAGCAGATTAGATTTGTATGCTCATGCCCAAATAGGCAGAACTAGTATCACTGATTAAAATGTCAGAAAAAGAGTAGCAGGGCCTCCCCGGTGGCGCAGCGGTTGAGCACTGGGTTGCGAAGCTGCCCGCAGCCTCTGCAGCGCCGGTTCGATCCCCGGCTGCTCCCCGGCCACCGGAGGAGGGTCCCACATGGCACGCAGACCTCTCCTGCCGCCCGCTGCTCCCCTCAGCAGTGTACTTCATCCGTCTGCCTGTTCTGCTCCCTGCTCTGGCTCTGGTGAATTCTCTCACCCTCCCGCACTTCTTACTGTACCCAGTGCTTGTATAAATAAATAAATCTTTAAAAAAAAAAAAAAAAAAAAAAAACAGCAGAACACAGTAGAAACTGAGAGCTACATGAAAAAATGGAAGGGACTATTTCATGACATAATGAACTCCTTGTCACAAAGCCTAATCCAGGGTGACAGCTTGGAGAAAACAGTGAAGACAAGGATTAATGCGGATTGATTCTATTAATTAATAGTATCAAGAGTCTTTCCTGTGGATTCTATGCGAGAGAGTACCAGAAGTGTTACCTTAAGATAGACTTTTCAAAGGATCTACAGAATTATTTTAATAAAATTACAAACCTTTAGCTGTGGATAAATCTGCCGAATCATAGTAAGATTCAGAGCATTTAGGTACTTTGGTCTGTTCAGTGTTATCACTCCCGCACAACCTTTTCTTTCCAATAGTACTTCTTCCGCTGCATCCGTGTGCTTGGACATTCTCTGTGTAAACAAAGAATAACTTCAGGATAAAATAAATTTTTGTCACAAGTGAATATCAAACTTCCAATGCAAATCTTTTACACAAAGTTAATGGTAACTTAATCATATAAATAGGGTTTAAAAGTTATTTAGATGATATAAATGCACAATTTTAAAACAAACAATATGTACCTCTAAAATCTTTTAGTTTTTATTTCTGAATCAAATGATTTACAATAGAACCTAATCCTAGCATTATTTGTACTATAAAATACCCTTGAATCTTTATTTTATTGCTGTATACTAAGTACTATGTTAGGGTCTTGGAAGGCAAAGATGAATACCTGTTATTAATAGTAACAGGTAACTTGAAAAGAAGGTACTATTTGAGCTGGGTCTTGATGTATGCCAAGAAAAGTGGGATGAATAGCACATGTTAAAACACAAGCCACGAATATCTGATGTTAAACATGAATGGTATAAAGGTTGGTTGAAGAAATAATTAATGGGGCAGTATACAGATAAGTAATTTGAGGTAAGATTATAAAATGATGACTTACATGTCATGTATTAGTAAACACTCCCCTATATGCTAACTTAGGGCCTCTCGCACCGTAACTTAGTCACAGGTGTCAATGATCATGTAACATATAGTATTGACTATAATGACACTCGCAAGGAACATGTTTTAAGCCACATAGTAATTTCCTAGGACTCTGCTACACAACTATCAGGGCTATGAGATCACACATATCTTTATCTAAGGATAATGCTTTAAACCTCACATGGGAACAGTGTGCAATGTAAAACTGACAGTCAGTGTAGCTTAGAAAAATTTAACTGGAGAAATGCCAATCAAAACTAAACAGCATATTTACAAACTAAAATCTAATAATCCCCAGAGGTCCATTTTTTGATAGCATTAAGCCACATCTTAACCCAATGTTTAAGTTTTCCTTGATATAAAGTATATGTCATATTTAATGCTGGAGTTTATTTTCTATTAGAAATCATTATCAGATAAAAATTTATTTTTATTTGCTTAACAAAGTTACAGGAAGTCATTAAACAGAAAAGGTGTCTTTTCCATTCAATTAAAACTAAAAACTTTAACAAGATGTATTTTGAACCAAATTGACAAATATCCACAAGTGTGAATCCTGTGATGTCTAGAGTGTGAGGAAACAAAAATACTGTAGGAACATAAACTATGACAGCCTAGGGGGGAAAAAACCACAGACAACACATTTTTAAATGCATATACACTGAGACAGTAATTCTTGTTCTGGAAATTTACCCTATAGATATATTTACATTCAGGAAAATTAAATAAGCACAAGGATAGATACTGAAATGTCAACTATAATGGCAAGAGGCTGGAAATAACCTAATTGTTATCAGTTGGAGACTAGCTAAGTATGGTCTGGTTACTTATACTAAATAAATAAGTCTTATGGAGACTTTATTTTTTTTTTTTTTTTTTTTTTTTTTATAGAGGCATGTTTTTTTTATTTATTCATTTATTTGTTTGTTCATTTGTTTTGTTTATACATGCACTGGGTACAGTCAGAAGCGCGGGAGGGTGAGAGAATTCACCAGAGCCAGAGCGGGGAGCAGAACAGGCAGAAGGACCGAAGTACACTGCTGAGGGGAGCAGCGGGTGGCAGGAGAGGTCTGCGCACCATGTGGGACCCTCCTCCGGTGGCCGGGGAGCAGCCGGGAATCGAGCCGGCGCCGCAGAGGCTGCGGGCAGCTTCGCAACCCAGCGCTCCACCGCTGCGCCACCGGGGAGGCCCCTTATGGAGACTTTAAAAAGGAGGAGGCAGCTATTTCTCCATACACTAGTATGGAAACACCTCAATGCAGACTGTGTTTATCATCCTATCACTGTGTACAATGACACACACAAATTTATATAAAGAATAAATCTCTACATGAATATCCAAGACATTACTAAAGTGGCTACTTTCAATAAAGAAAATTGGTCATCTGAGAGATGGGTAGGGAGACTTTTTATCATATGGGCCCTTTGATTTTTTTGTACCAAATGTAGCTCCCAACCATTCAAAACAGTATTTTAATTTTCTTTTAAAAAAAAGGATAGGCTTTAAAGGTCCTAAGCCATATATGTCATAGAACATCATAATTTTCACTTTTTCACTTTATTGGTAATCAAGAAGAACCTGTAGTAAAAGAAAACTACACACAAGAATCACAAAAGTCAGACTTCCAAATGTCTACTTTTGTTTCCAATAATGTCCAAGAAATAATGAGCAAAGTTTACTGACCAGCTAAAGAGCAGATGTAAATACAGATATAATATAGAATACAAGAAACTCGAATGTATGCCAAAAAAAAAAAAAAAACACCCACTAATGGCTACATTAACTGATAACAAATAACTTTTATTTTTTTTTAAAGATTTATTTATTTATTTATACAAGCACTGGGTACAGTCAGAAGCGAGGGAGAGTGAGAGAATTCACCAGAGCCAGAGGGGAGAGGAGAGCAGGCAGACTGACGAAGTACACTGCAGAGGGGAGCAGCGGGCGGCAGGAGAGGTCTGCGCAGCCATGTGGGACCCTCACTCGGCGGCCGGGGATCGAACTGACACTGTAGAGGCTGCAGGCAGCTTCGCAAACCAGCGCTCAACCGCTGCGCCACCGGGGAGGCCCAACAAATAACTTTTAAAGGTAAAAATCATTTATGGAGCAAGTATAAATAGAAAGTAACCTGGCAATGTAAATAAAGAGTTGTCCAAATGTTTTTATGTTGATAACTCTACACTTCAGAAATTTAGAAACAAGCAGAAATCTAGTGAAATATTTATAGAAGGGTATAATCAATGTTAAAAATATATATACATATACAGAAGAAAAAAAGAACAGCTATATATACAACAAATTATAAATGATGATTTTGGATAAACTTCCTTCTGATTTCTATATTTTCCAAATTGTCTACTCTACAAATAATGATTTTGGTTACTCAAAAATGTCTCAAAGAACAAAAATGTAGGCAAAAAATGGTTTCTATTATTACTTAAAATATCAAAAATGGGGCCTCCCCGGTGGCGCAGCGGTTGTGCGCTGGGTTGCGAAGCTGCCCGCGGCCTCTGCGGCGCCGGTTCGATCCCCGGCTGCTCCCCGGCCACCGGAGGAGGGTCCCACATGGCGCGCAGACCTCTCCTGCCGCCCGCTGCTCCCCTCAGCAGTGTACTTCGGTCCTTCTGCCTGCTCTGCTCCCTGCTCTGGCTCTGGTGAATTCTCTCACCCTCCAGCGCTTCTGACTGTACCCAGTGCATGTGTAAACAAAACAAACAAACAAATAAATAAAACATGCCTCTATTAAAAAAAAATATCAAAAATGGACAATACTTAGTTTATGATACTCATGATTTAATTCAAGGTACTCATATAATACTGTATAGTTCCTGGAAAACATTTGGATATTAGTGGTATATTTTAAAAGGTTCATAATATGATGCTAAGTGACAAAGGATCAAAAACAGCAAGCATAAATCAAAAATAAATAAAATATGTAAAAGACACAGGACCAAAAATACACAAGACAAAAATCAGAAGGAAATATACCAAAAGTCTTAGTAATGAGACTTGGGAAAGACCATTATTTTAATTTTCTCCTTTGTATTTACTACACTTTATTTCTAAATTTTCAGCAGTCATCTTACACTGAATTTTAAAACAATTTTAATGTTGTTTTTAGAAATGATACCAGATCTTAGTCATTTAATAACTTTTCAGAGAAAGTTTTGAAAAAGATGTGTACCAAAAATAACCCTTTGCACTCCGAATCATTCTGGACATTGGCTACCAGGTACTCGACGCTACTTTGCGGCAGAAACGTGCATTTACAGACCCTCGTATTATTTAGTATAATTTTGGAACCAAGTAACATATTATAATGATATTGGACTTACATGAATTGGGTGACATCGAGGAATGTATATTTGCAAAAAAAACAATATTTTATTGTTTATAATTTTGTACAGTATAAGTTTTGTAACACTCCCCAATATGCATTGCAGGCTGATTAGTGCATGTTTGACATGTCTGTATAGAGGTCTATCTGGAGCTCATCTTCACTACTACTTGTGTCATGAGACTCATTCGTGGTTGGACGCTTTGCCATTGTTCTAATAAAAAATATGAATAAATGCATGGGTTGAAAATTTCTAATTGTTATTACTAACTGACAAGATGATATTTACCAAAATAGCTTTCACCAGACAATTTTTCACTAAGAAAAGAATCACTTTTCCGATTTTCTCCTCGTTAGATCTATGTGCACTGCTCGAAGCTTCAAACCAAAATGAGCTCAGCTTTGAAAATCTTTTCCTCCAGATGTAGACTTGTTTATTTGTAATTATATATCTCACTACACAGTGCGCGCTATGTTCGAAAACCGACCTTTCTTCTACAAACTCCCCTTATCGCTCTTTTCAAGTGGCGTCGCGAAGTGCTCGGACCATCATGAGCATGCATCTCACGTTCTCGTCCGACACAAAACCTGCTGATATTTCTTGTATATATCTTAGTAATTTTACGATATTTTGATTTAATTTCTTGTGCCATTTCAAGATAAAACTTCAGGGAAACATGCATGTCTCAAAAAGTTGCGTTGAAATAACTCAATTCCCCATAATCACTAATAAATTGCAATGTCCCCTGAGAGCGGACATCCGAGTGATATGCTAGAATTCCGATGTCCCCTGAGAGGGGACAGCGGAGTGCAAAGGGATAAATAACCTGGGGAAAGGTTTCAGAATTAACATTGTTAAGAAAATTAGGTTCAATGTGAACACCCACTAGTTAGTACTAGAAGCTGTTTCTGGTCCTTGTTAAACTGGACAGCTGGATTATTATGAAAATTTCTATTACAGAAGTTAACAGATGTATTCTACCTCAGTTAAAGGAATTCTTTACACATGGGTAGTATCAGTCATGACTTTTCTGTAGTTACGGAAGTATAGAAAACATTTGAAAGACAGCAGGATTATC